AATATTGACCTATAATTCATTGTTCGACATGTTGATGACCATACCTTGTGGTGAGGAATGGGGTGGGTGATGCAGGTGCCTAGGCAACATATAACATTGTCATATCCATCTCTAGCCCGACGCTCAGGCTTGATACATTCGAACCTTACTTGATGATAACCATATTATCATTGTTGATGATAATGCCTAAGGGGTGGTGCATAGCGAGAAAGGAACCTTAGTCTCAATGGATCAAGTAACTATGAGTGAGGCCATGGTGACCCACATCAAATCACATGAAGAGAAAGAGGACATGGAATGAAGTTGGCAAACATCGTTGACGAGTATGCAGACCCTAGGTATCCTCAAAAGAGGATTTGACATGGGAGGTGAGTTAAGGTATGAATTATGAAGAACTAGTGTACTTGTCAGTAAATCTTTGATGTCATAGGATTCAAATAGAAGTCTCTTTAGGGTTTATCTATAATGTGCTTCCTCTTTTAGCTGCTGCTAATAGGAAGGACACATGGATACAGATTGGCGTGGGAGGGAAAATATCTTTTGAGAATCTATTAGCCGCTGTTAACTGGGTTGTGCCATGTAACGAGATATCATTGTTAGATGCATACCCCCAGCTAACAATTAGCGCAACTAATAACTAGTTGGACCTACTTGGATCCAGCCCTTCCAAATTTTAGCATCTAACTATTAGTTTAGTGATCCGAATATCCGCTTACTTGTGCAGTATCCAATTGTCAGAGAAATTAAATGATGTTAGCTACTGCTTTTGCTTAATCACAACTTCTATCATGCCGTTTGACAACTCTAGTGTCTATACTTTCAAGTGTTGTGCCACTTACCATAAGATGCAAACTGACCAAGTTAGAAGAAATTTAGTGATGTCTGAGCAAGCACTATAGTAGTTGCTTTCTTGATCACATCTCTATCCCCAACCAAAGAGTATACAAATAACGCTAACCACCTACTCTGTCATCAGATAAGAGTTCCATTGTGGATCCAACTAGGAAGCATGCACACACTACTGACACCTGAGTCAATAATGCAGCATCCTTGAACCTCTCAACTTGTTGTTGCTTGCAAAATTTGTTTTATGAAGACAGACAAAGATAAGTAAGAAGATTGAGGATTGCTCATGATTATTTATAGACTAAACTGAAAGTTCAGGAGGGAAATTAGCTGTCTAGCTTTTTAATGTAAAGTTAACCATCCTGGTAACAGAATTATTTTGCACATCTTAATTTTAGAAGAGTTTTTTTTCCTAAACCAAATCAAGTACAGACTGGCGGAGCAAATCGGCTCATATCAATCCAGAAGTTTGCATCATCTATTGCAGAATATTGTCCACGGAAGCACTATTAGGCCTTTTGGACCGCAGAAATTTCATAGGAATTGTACGGGTCAGTTTATTTTCACAGGAACAATACAGTGAACGGGAAAAAAAATCCCACAATCCAAAGGGGACCTTAGAGCATCTTCAAAAGTACCTAATATTTTCTTTCTAAAAACATGAAGTTTTACGACTCCTAAAATAGTATCGGAAGGAATAAAGAAGGCCATCCCTAAGAGTTTCTAATAATCTACTTCAAAAACATAGAAGGCAATATTACATCAGAAATTCTATACTATTTCTAAATTACCCTAACCACTTTTATATATTCTTTCTCTCTTGTACCACTACTGGAAACCCGCACTTTGCAGAGTGCCTGCGGCACTCGGCAAAGCCCGAAATACATTCGGCAAAGGCTTTGCCGAGTGCCGCACTCGGCAAAGAATTAATCGGCAAAGAAGCATTTGCCGAGTGTTTTTTGTCGGGCACTCGGCGAAGCCTTTGCCGAGTGTCGGAAAAGCACTCGGCAAAGATTTACACTCGGCAAAATGAAAATGCGAAAAAACCCAAAAATAATAGCAAAAAAAATTCGGGGAAGGGCGCCATCAGCCAGCGCCCGTCCGTCCAGCGCCGCCGGCTATCGAAGTCGCTGTAGTTTTTTAGCAAAATTCGCGGCTAATGCGGCCGGCGGGATTCAAACTCACGACCTCTCCCTCGTGTGTCTGCTGCTCTACCACTGCACTACAATGTCACTTGTGTCTAGATTCCGTTATCTATCCTCATATATTATACTAGATCGAGAGTAAATTGATTGTTTGAGGCCCTAAACGAATTCAAAATAAAAAGTGGTCAACTACAAAGTTTCATAACTTTTCGAGATCTACAATTTTCATTTAGGAAGTTTTTCCATCCGAGATCGTTTGAAAAATTCGAATTTCAAATTTGAGAGATTCAAACATAGTTTTGCATGATAAAATGATTTCAAATCAAAAAAGTTGTCAACTACATAGTTTCATAACTTTTGGAGATCTACAATTTTCATTTAGGAAGTTTTTCCATCCGAGGTCGTTTGAAAAATTATAATTTCAAATTTGAGAGATTCAAACGTAGTTTTGCATGATAAGATGATTTCAAATCAAAAAGTTGTCAGCTACATAGTTTCATAACTTTTGGAGATCTACAATTTTCATTTATGAAGTTTTTCCATCCGAGGTATTTTGAAAATTCAAATTTTCAAATTTTCAAATTCAAACGTCATTTTTGCATGACAAGATGATTTCAAATCAAAATGTTGCCAACTATAAAATTTTTAACATCTCAAGATCTACAAAGTTTATTTTGGTCATTTGGTCATCCGACATAGTGGTAGTAACATTATTCACAAATCTTATATATCACTCTTCGACTTTCATGAGACTAATATGAGAGATATGAGAGTGATGTAGATTTTATGAACAACGTTATTGTCGCTTTGTCAAATAAAGAAATGACCAAAATAAATTTTGTAGATCTTGAGAAGTTATACAATTTTGTAGTTGAAAAGTTTTTCATTTGAATTCATTTAGGGCCTCAAAAATTGCTTTGAAAAAATAATTTGCCGAGGGCAAAAAAAATGCACACGGCAAAATGCCTCTTTGCCGAGTGCCAAAAAAAGTCACTCGGCAAAGACGCATTTTGCCAAGTGCAAAAAATGGCACTCGGCAAAATACATCTTTGCCGAGTGCCAAAAAAAAGGCACTCGGCAAAGACGCATTTTACCGAGTGCCGAAAAATGGCACTCGGCAAAATACATCTTTGCCGAGTGTCGAAAAAAACACTCGGCAAAGCCGTCTTTGTCGAGTGCCCGATAAAATACACTCGGCAAAGCTTCCGGCACTAGGCAAAGTGCCGGTTTCCAGTAGTGTACATTTGCATCAGGAACCTTTTGCTACTCCTTATTCTTTCCATGCCCTTCCACCTCTAGATTGGCCGACAAACGCGCGCAGGAGAGAGATTTACGCGGAACGGGATGACTTTTCCTAAGTTCTAAAAAATAGGAAGATGGAGTAGGAGTTGTTGGAGAGAGATTTTTTCTCATCTTGCTAAAAACCAAGGATTAGTAAGGGATTTAGGGAACTCTCGGAGATGCTTATCTCCAGTAGTTCCCAAAAAAATAGTTGATAAATCAATGAGTTTTCTAAGTGGCTAAAAAAATTAGGAGCATATTTGTTGGCTTCCACCAACAGTTTTTCAAATCTCACTTCTAAAATTTAAAAGATAATTTTGCACCAGAATCCCAAACTATTTTCGAATCACCCTAATCACTTTTATTCTTTCTTTATCGTACATTTGCATTAGGAACCGTATGTCTTTCAACCTCGAGATTGGTCGATTGATACACGCATGTTTATTTCCGTTGGTTTGGGTAGATTTTTCCCAAGTGTGGAAAGATTAGGAGTTAAGATAGAGAGTTATTAGAGAGCAGTTTTTTTCAATCTTGCCAAAAGAAGTGGATTTTGGAAACTCTTCGATATGCTCTTATCTCATTGCATGAACAAGAATGGGATGTGACCTATTGAACTGCGTTCCGTCTCATCACAGCCAAATCTCATTTGCTTGATTGTGATATAGTGTGTTCCCTAATCGCTGTCAGACCACATTTCTCTGATTGCACTCCTATTTGTTTAAAGAATTAAACTAAAGCAAGCATCAAGCATTGCCGTGTCCGTCGATTCGCACCATCGCGTACCTTTCAGCTGCTTATTTCTTGACATAATATTGTATCATCAGCGTATATATCCATGTACTCCGCATGCCACAAGCAGACAATTAAGGCACTTGAATAACATAACCCAATTAGTTGCGATTGAGAGGAATAATGTCTGTTTTACAGTATGTGATTATTAGACCAATAAATACAGGGAGTGGAAACATGTTAAAAATGACAGTGTGTGTATAGTTCGTTAAGAAAAACAAACATATAACCTTCTTTTAGGGCGCTTCAGTTTAACAGTTCATTCAGAGAAGAAAAACAAACATCTAAACACCTTCAGTTTAGCCTGCTTCAGTTTGTGCACAGTAACTCTGTCCAGGTGCAATGAACCAGGGTACGGGGATATCGTTTGGCACGCGCTGGTTAAAACTGGAGCACCGCCTTCTTTTTTTTTTTTTTTTTTGAGAGAGAGAGAGAGCGCGCGCGCGAGAGTACCGTCTTCTGCTCTTTCTGCTCGAGCACGACGGTAGCCGCACAGTTACAGCTCAAAAGGGAAAGAGTCCAGATTCTTGGGACCAGCTGTGTATTGCTTAATTGCCTATATAGAGTAACTGCACCTTCTGATTTTGGAAATTCCCGTCGTCCCTTGATTTCTGCAAATTCCGTAGCGGATTTTCCGTCTGAGATTTGATCATTTGACATTTGAGGCTTGAGAGAGAGCAAAGCTTTTCGAAACATGTCGACATGTACACTGTTATAATTGGCAGTTTAGCGCACCAAATCTTTTTGTGCAGTGCAGCTTTGCTTTGCAAGGCCCATATAAACCGCTCCCGTCGTCCTCCTGATTACTCCCGCACGGACACTCCTCCCCATCCCCTCCATCCAACACCACCAAGAAAAAAAACTAATCGCGACTATTTGACGCATAATTTGAGGGAGGAGGAGAAGGGGAATTAACAAATTAACCAATCGCGAGTGGCGATGATGCAGCTGGGGGCTCGGAGTTTGGTGAGGAGGTTCTCCCGTGTCGCCGCGGCGGCCCCGGCCGAGACGGCGACTGCCGTGCCGCCGAGAATGCCGGCGTTCGACCACGTCCCGCTGCCCTACGACGGGCCGAGCGCTGCCGACATCGCCCGCAAGCGCGCCGAGTACCTCAGCCCGTCCCTCTTCCACTTCTACTCCAAGCCTGTACGTCGATCGATCCAATGCACTGACCGCACATACATAGATGCATCTGCGGCCTCCATCCTTGATCTCTGCATGCGGAGGTAATCGTTTGCATTAATTGTTGTGTTGCAGCTGAACATCGTGGAGGGGAAGAGGCAGTACCTGTACGACGAGCACGGCCGGCGCTACCTGGACGCGTTCGCCGGCATCGCCACCGTGTGCTGCGGCCACTGCCACCCCGACGTCGTGGACGCGATCACCGCGCAGTCCAAGCGCCTGCAGCACTCCACCGTGCTCTACCTCAACCACGCCATCGCCGATTTCGCCGAGGCGCTAGCATCCAAGCTGCCGGGAGATCTCAAGGCACGCGTGGCTGACCGCGTCTTCTGCCGGTTCTGTTCGTTTCAGCCGTCCAGCAACCAATGACTGACGCACTTTTTTTTCATGCTGTTATTGGTCTTGCATACATATACACAGGTCGTCTTCTTCACCAACTCCGGCACGGAGGCGAACGAGCTCGCCATCCTGATGGCGCGGCTGTACACGGGCTCCCACGACATCATCTCCCTCCGCAACTCCTACCACGGGAACGCGGCCGGCACCATGGGAGCCACCGCGCAGAAGAACTGGAAGTTCAACGTCATCCAGGTACAGACACCCAAACAATTGACGCCATGCATGCACATGTGATCCTCGCTGAATGAAATGAAAAAATACATATGAAATCCTTCTCTGATCAGTGATCATGTATGTGATGTTCATTCACTGCGCAAGTAGAGTGGCGTGCACCACGCCGTGAACCCGGACCCCTACAGAGGCGCCTTCGGCAACGACGCCGAGAAGTACGTGCGGGACGTGCAGGAGATCATCGAGTTCGGCACCACGGGCCAGGTCGCCGGCTTCATATCCGAAGCCATCCAGGTACACTAACACTACTGACGCAGAAAGCAGCTGTCCTGTTCCTCTCGCTGCGACTGGACAACGTCGTCATGACGCGGTGGAATCGTGCTGTACTGTACAGGGTGTTGGTGGAATCGTGGAGGTGTCACCGGGATACCTGCCGCTGGCGTACGAGAAGGTCCGGAAGGCCGGCGGGCTCTGCATCGCCGACGAGGTTCAGGCGGGTTTCGCTCGCGTTGGCAGCCACTTCTGGGGTTTCGAGACCCACGGCGTCGTCCCCGACATAGTGACCATGGCAAAGGTACATGGCCGGCTGGCACGCCATTCTAATTTTCTCCCTTCTTATCGACGCTCTGAACCTGACAACGTGGCGGCGGCCCGTACGTTCTCCGAACGCCTGAATTCTTCAGGGCATCGGCAACGGCATCCCGCTGGGCGCCGTGGTGACGACGCCGGAGATCGCGCAGGTGCTGACCCGGCGCTGCTACTTTAACACGTTCGGCGGCAACCCGCTGTGCACCGCGGGCGGGCTCGCCGTCCTCATGGTGCTCGAGAAGGAGAAGCTCCAGGAGAACGCTTTCGTCGTCGGCTCCTACCTCAAGGACCGCCTCCGTGGTCTCCAGGAGAAGCACGAAAGTGCGTGCACCTGACATTCTGACCCAACTGGATTTAATTTGTTCAGGAATTCGACAGATTCGATGTTCTTTCTGACCACAACCTCGCCTGATGACCCGTTTTCGTGTTCATTCACGCAGTCATCGGCGACGTGAGGGGAACAGGTTTCATGCTCGGCGTCGAGCTCGTGACCGATCGGCAGCTCAAGACACCGGCGAAAGATGAGATCTGTCATGCCATGGAAACATGAAAGGTAAAGTGTATCAAGAACGATGAAAGGTAGGAAGTGTATCAATAAGGATCGGATAGGACTGCAGATAGGAAGTTTTTTGACCTCAAATCGAGCGGAATTATCAGATGGAGTTGAAATTTTTTGCAGATGAAGTATGTTTTTTCTAAAAAATTGGATCTAAACAAATATTAGTATGATTTATGACACAATCTATTAAAAGAAGAATATGATCAATAGTAAGTTAGAGTTTTTCACTCTGATGATTGTGGATATGCAGATATGGAAGTCTTGGTCGGCAAAGGCGGATTTGGATATGGGAACGTCTTCAGGATGGGGAACGTCTTCAGGATCACCCCCCCTCTATGCTTCACCAAGGAAGATGCTGGTACGTCGGTAGCATTCTTGTTACTAGTTTAATATACTAATTCTGTATATATGCATTGAATCTCTTGGGCGAATAATGCAGATTTCTTCGTTGAAGTGATGGACATTGCCCTGTCGAAGCTCTGAGCTGTGACCCCTCGCACAAGTTTCGGCTGCATCGGAGTTCTATGATCTCCACCCAAGAGAAGGGGGAAAAAAACTTGCAGTTCGTAACTCCAGTCCAGGATAAACATTGAACCAATTAAGCAGACGATGACCTGATATGCTTGCCATGTAACGTGCCGGATATGCTATGACTGGGGTGTGGGGTCCAGTTAACCTTATATATTTAAGTGCATCAGCCATCAGTCATCTCTTAAAGCTCTGAACTATGAATTCTACTTCTGCCATGTGATGATGTTCTATGCTCCATTAGTTCCAAATCATAAGACATGATAAAAGTAGGAGTAATATAATTAGAAAAGCTAAAACGTCTTATAATTTAGAATAAACGAAGAATTTGTTAACTAGGTGCGGTCATGACACACAAATGCTAGGAAAAGTCCTCATGCTCTGATGCCCACGTACACCGAGACAGGTTTGGCATTGCGGTGGCTTTTCAAAGCTTTTAGAGGCCTGTCCTTGATCGCCCGGGATGGAGGTCAGGCGGGGTCTGTGCTGGGACGCGCCGGCGTTGCCGGAGCTGATAGACGCGCACGCACCACGCAGGGTCTGTTTGGTTTGCAGCCTGCCAGACATGTGATCCTGTCCCAGGTGATCGAAATCGGACGCCCGGGAGCGCTGCTTGGGCCAGCCAGATTCACCCAGGACGGAACCAAACAGGCCGCGCTGCGTGCCGGTGGGTGGCGGCCTTGTCCCGTGGATATGTCCGTAGGATGGCAATCTTAACCTTGATACCCGCATGTTTCGTACCCGATTGGTGTGGAACTGTGAACACAGACATAAAAACTTATTCGCGGGTATGAGGATGGAGTAACCGCAAAGATACGGATAGAGTGTAGGTATCAAATTTTACCCGTGAGTACTTGCAATTTGACATTATATGTGAATATATATCACATATGCCATATACATATCATCTCGACCAGCTTATTTAACATGTAATTTGTAGCATATGCATAGCATGTCGAGCTATTGGGCCGAATAAAGTGATTGTGTGAGCTATTAACTTATTACTTTAGTTCTTGTATAAGTTGTTTTGTGTTATTTGTATGAGCATAAATGATCGAATTATCATTCTATGATGTAAGCTACTGTATATTGTCCTAGTGAATTCTATGTAAGTAAGATTAACATATTTGCATGTCGTTTAACTATAAATTTATTATTTTATATCGCTATGCTTTTATTATTTGATCTCTTTTAAATATACCAGTCGGGTATCCGCCGGATGCGAATACGAAATTTTACCTGTGAATTTGCTTAAAAGTTCACAAATGCTTGCACACGGTCGTCTGTCCCGTTCGGACGCATGCCTTCCTAGGCCTATGCAGCGGACAAGTCCAATAGCATCTCTAAGTCTCTTCTATCTCTGAAAAATTCTTCACTCGCACTCGCATCGATGTTGCGGCGTCACCGTGCATACGCCCGCCCCACTCCGCCCCTGCCGCGTCCCCTTCACCCACCACGTGCCCGTCCTCCGCCGCGCCGTGTCCTTCCCCCACCACACCGCACCACATAGCCAGCCGCGCCGTGCCCCATCTCCTGCGAGCGGATGGCGATGGACGACTGCGGCCGAGCAGCAGCGGTGCTAGCAGAGAAGCCGCACCGACGGGCACGAGCCTAGACAGCGAGCATGCGTAGGAGAATCGCCGAAGGAGCGACGGGCCGACATCCTGCAGCGGAGGTGTACGATGGGTTGACGTCCCTGGACCCGAGCTTGCTGGCTACCACAGTTCGCCATCAGGTAGGTCGTGGTCATCAGCGACACCATGTTTCAAGCGTTCCAGACTTATGTTTCAAGTGTTTGATGTGGATGTTGCAAAAGTATATCTAAGATGTTGCATATGTTGCAATGACAATATACACATGTTGCAAGCGTATGTTTTCAAGTGTCTCAGGTATTTCAGACGTATATTTCAAGCGTTTCATCTGGATGTTGCAAAAGTAGATCTGAGTGTTTCATATATGTATATGCATGTTGCAAGCCTATATTCCAAGTGTTTCAGGTATTTCGGACGTATGTTGCTAATTTTTTATTTGGATGTTTCAAAAGTAGATCTTGGTGTTGCACATGTTGCAAATCGCATGTTTCAAGTGTTTCATCTGTTTTCAGACGTGTGTTGCAAATGTTTCATCTAGACGTTTTAAAAGTAGATCGGGTGTTGCACATGCTGCAACGGTGCCAGTGTCTGGCGGACAGCAACATGCCGCTGGGTTTCGCCTCCTACCTCGCGCATTCCTCGCGCGGTGCCTCGCCTTCTCCTCTCCTCTCCCTTCCCTCCCTTCTCTTCCCTCCATCTTGTTGTGGCAGTAAGAGCTCGACAGACAAGCGTGCGAGTCGCGGATGTCGAGTAGGCGCAGCAGCTTGCGCAAGAGGCGGGGCAGGCAGCGCGAGCGTACGAACATACGGGCGCTAGACATGCTGTCAAAAGCTAAGAGTCACGTTATATTCACGGACGAGTAATATACTTAGGGGGTGTTTGGGACTGCTCTGCCCCCGATTTTCAGCTCCGCTCCACGAACTCCACTATAGAGTAGCTCCACGATAGAGTTTGTGGAGCATGTGGTAAGGTTTGGCACACAACCTAGCTTCAGCCTAGGAATGGGTTGTTTCCATACAAATGATCCATTATGTCCTGATTAAAATTGCACTTGATATTTTTCGAGAAAAATAGAAAACAAATGATAAAAAATTAACGGAGACCATAATTTGAATACAAATAATTGCTCCATACAGCCTCTTCGCTTGTTGGTTTCAGCCAGGGCTTATCAGGCAGCCAACAGTGTTTTCCTCTCACAACAAACTAGTACCAGCCGGGCTTATCAGTAAAAAAAACAACCAGCGAACAAGCTCATAAACTGTAAATGATAGAAAATTAAACAAATGCCATAATTGTCCCATGGCCTCACGTCTGAGGACGCCATGAAGGCATGGGAAGCATGGCCTGCGAGGGCTCCACCTCCACGTAGATGGCGATGCAGTGGGGCCTGGACACCAACGAACACCTTGTCTTGAGCTGATGACCTGCCGTCGTCTCGGCACGAAGTCGATGGCGAGGCCGCAATCACTAGCACTGTTGTATCTCGGACGCCGTCGAGAGAGGCGCTGCCTCGGGGCGACGCGTGCGGGACGGCGCCGTGTTGGCCGTGAACGGCGGGTCTGTGCGCGCGTCAGCTCGATCGGCCCCGGACATTCCACGCCTGTTCGGCTGGTATTAAAGCCGGCTGAAGCTATTTTATTGTGAGAGAAAAAATACTGTAGATTAGCTGGTAAGCCGGCTGATAAGTTCAAGCGAACAAACCCGGAGTTTGATTGTATACGCACACACGTCCTGATGAGCGGGCGAGAAGTAGGACGACAGACAGGCGTCGTATTGGACGGTGACCACGTCCGAGCCCAGCACCTAAACACCGCCGCCGCCACGACGGCCGCACGCGTGCGGAGGACGACGACGTACGCACGGTGATAGATGAGCGGCAGCCGCCACAACAGCTCACCGACAAACTAGTGCTCTTTTGCGTACCGTCGCGCAAAAAAAAAAAAAAGCAAACACTGAAGCAACGTCTCCTTGTCACGGCGGCAGGGGAAGAGGAGAGCAGCGGTCGTGAAAAAAAGGGTGAAAAGTCGCGGTGTTTTAAGACCGGTGAATAGGGCCTTTGGATAGGTGAAGCGATCAGGGAAAAGTAATCCATGATTAATGAGTGACAAGGTGGGTAATTACCTCACAATTTCATGTGGGGTACAAAACTTCAAAAACTGAAGTATCTCTGGAGGTGTTCTAGAAAAATGTAGAGTTAACCTCCAACTCCATCTTTTTATTGAGCGGAGTTCTTAGAGCTGAGGGTGCTTGAAGCTTAAAAAATCTATGATTAATGAGTAACAAAGAGCGTGCAGTAACAAAACTCACGTTACGCATGTCGGCCGAATACCAAAACTTGTCCGCTGCTTCGTGTGATAAAAAGCAAGTCTCAGGTCCTGAATCAGTCTGGCACCTTGGATCTTGATCGGACAGTGGATGGCAGGGAGAGCTCAAGTGTTTGACAACCAAATCTTTGCGTAGGGGTCCGTTCGAAAAAAGTCAAAGTAGGGGCTGTTTATCTCTCCTAACCCGCCAATTTTTAAAGATTCCTCGTCCGCTGAATCGTGTGATAAAAAGATTAAATATCCTGAAAAGTCTAAAACCTTGGATCTTGATCGGACAGTGGAAATGGCAGGGTAAAATCTTTTAAGGCTAATTGACTATGAATCCGTGTCCTCAAATCTTTGCGTTTTGCTAAAATTTTGGGCCGAATGGCCGCCAAATCAGCATCAGCTGAAACGTTAGAGAGAAACGCTGTTTCAATCGAAAAGGAAGCCCCAGCAAACCGTGTTGGAAACCAAAAACCTTCTCCCCCTTGTGTGCTCTCTCTCTCTCTGGCGCACGGCGACGACTGGGCAACCGCCGCCGTTGTCCTAACCAGGTCTCCATCGGTACCTTTGCCGGCGACGAGCAGGTACGCCCACTCCTTCTCTTCCCTTCCTGCTGTGCGAAACCGAGCACCCAAACCCTACCTTAAGTTATCTATATTCGGATCTGATCAAATCACAACTGTATATATGTATTGTACTTGCTAATTTCGATTTTTCCCAAAATTTATCTGGTGATCCATCTGGGTCCGTCCCTGTGTTCAACTGAATCCGGTGCCCCTTCCTTAAGTCCGCCCCTGCCCCTACTGAAAATTGTGTACTGAGGATCGTGCCCGCTTCTGACGATTTGTCTGCATAGTTACCGGCCCATTTTAACTCTATAGAATGCATGATAGTAGCAACTTACTGCTGCCTCACGCACATATAGGCAACTTAATGAAATGATTGTTTTATGATCATGCAATTGACTAGTGTTATCTTCGCAAGCACTAGTGTTATGCTATTTGCATCAAAATACTTGGATGTCAATTTGATCTTCACAAATAATAAGGTTTCA